ATGGTGGGTTACGGTGGTGGGTGGGTGGAGGGTGGTTGGATTGGGTGGGTGGCCAATTTTTTTCATTTTTTTATTTAATTTATAACTCCTAATTTAGTTATACAAGAATATAATTTTAATTTTATAATAGCAAAAAAAATTACAAATTTAAATCAATAATTATATGTAAAAAAAATTGTACTGTTAAATTGCATTAAACATCAAATATATTTCGTGGAATTCTAACAAATTGTTAAAGGCTGTAAATATTTCAATTTGAATGGAACGGGTTGTAAACGGTTCGGTTTAAATAGTGTGTAATCGGATCGGTTTAAACGGGTTGCGGTTTGAAAATAGTTCGGTTTAAACGGTTTAATGGGTTATAACAGTTCGGTTTAAACGGTTAGCGGGTTGTAAATGGTTCGATTTAAACGGTTTTTTCCTACGGTTTAAACGGTTTCGGTTTATAAACGATTCGGTTTAAACAGTTAGCGGGTTAACATTAATCGGTTCAAACGGTTTCGGTTTATAAACGGTTTGGTTTGTTATTGGTTTACGGTTCGTAACGGGTTAACATTAATTGGTTCGGTTCGGTTTCGGTTTGACATTATACGGTTCAGTTCGGTTTTCGGTTTAAAATTAGCGGGTTATAAACGGTTCGGTCCGTGATGGTTCGGTTCGGTAACGGACGGTTTCACGGTTCGGTTTGAAAAGTCCCACCCCTAGCACTAAACACAAGCAAATAAACACCACAAAGTAGCTTTAAATGAACGTATGTTCTTGAAGTAAGATGTTCCATTTGACAAAATTATTTAATTAAACACACTTTGTTTTTTTAATTAACGTTCATATTAGGATCATGTGTGTTCGTCTAAATATTATGTGCACTTTAGAAATCATAAAATACAAATACATAACAAAAGACCAATTTTGTTAATCAATTTGATGTATCAAAATGATGTATACCGTATTGAATAATAAACCAACGTTATGTACATTATATTATAAACTTGAGTGTTCAAATATTTTAAAATTAATTATTAAAAGCGATTTTTGTCATGTATAACTGTTCTTCATAAGTATCATAAAATTTATGTTCATTTTGAATAGACTTTATGCACATTTGTAGAAAGTAAAATGTTCAGCTTCACCATAATTACTGAATTAAAGACAATCAGTCTTATAACATATGCATACATTAACCAATTAATAAGAAAATAGGAAAAAAAAATTATATTATTATTATTATTATTATTGTCTAAGCTTTTGAATTTTTGCAGTTAATCAACCATTAACTGAGCAACCTGTGCAAAATGTGTTAGTTCGTCTTTTCAGTGTTGTGCATACCGGGCTTGTCAGTTTTTTTCACTTCTGTGCATACTGGACTTTTCAGTCTTTTCACTTCTATGCATACTTTACTTGTTAATATTTTCACAGTTGTGTGGACTGGGCTTATCAGTCTTTTTCACTGGGCTTATTATTCAAATTAAATCCATCTAAAAGACAAAAATAAGCTAAAATGGCAAAATCACATAATATTGTAACGCAATAATTAAGTAGTCAAAGCAAATTGAAAATAAACAAATGAACAAATAAATAGTGATTCCACTCATTAAATATTGATCAATGGTATATCAAACAAATTTGTAAACACAATTACGATAAACTCATTTTACTTAAAAAGAATGATGATAAACCGTACGTTTAAATCATAAAATTACTTCGGCGTACATAAATGTTTTATGTATTTATATAATTAATACGGTAACTCTAATATATTTTAATAATATTATATATATCTAATTCAAGCTGGTGTAATCCATTAGGATTATTGTTAAAATAAACTAATTAATATAATATGAAATATTAAAATAATATTAAATTTATTTATTCATTAACAAATAACGTGATATTATTGTCAAAATTAAAAATGAATAACTAAAAAATAGATACATTTACTTGAAGAATAGTTAAGGCTTCAAGAGTTAAGAATTGAATAACAAATCCAATTATTTAATTAATCAAAATCACCACGGACGTCCACGGTATCAATTGCATTAAACCTAAAATGGTATAATTTATATTAATATTAATTTCACGTTTTAAATCTTTTAATAAAAAAAGCCAATTTAGACAACACGTAAATACCTTGCACAATCATCCTCTAAGGCAAAAAAATAAGAATTGAATATCTAATTGTATAAGTGGACTAAAAACATTAACGAATCCATTGAAAGACAATTATATTATATTAAGAAAAATCTTGAAATATGCTTGATATATATAGAGAGATTCTACAAAAATATACATATGGCGAATGAAGCTAATATTTGGTGAATTCTCAATTAATGAATAGTATATAAATAATAAAGCAAAAATATACATATAGAGGATAAAGAAAAAATATACATATAGAGGATGAAGCTAATATAAGAAATGAAAAATTAATTCTCTATTTAAAATTATGTATTTATGATTTAAACTATAATTTTGTGAATTTTGGCAAGTAAATTTATACTATTGTAAATGTACAATTCAAATAGAATTCATGCTCATTTGTAGAAGAAATATCATTTAAATAATAATTACGAAGTTACAGACAAATTATCAATTTAATTTATGTAATTCAAACATCGATTATCAATTATTATTATTATTATTATTATTATTATTATTATTATTATTATTATTATTTTTCTAATTAAAATGTTCTTTAGTGAATATATTGGTTTGTAATTTAATTTACCATAAATGTTCATTTTAGTTTGATTTCATGTAAATTTTTAGAAGGATAAATATTCAAATTAGAATTTCTAAATTTTAAGACAAAATAATTTTTTTTTTAATATATAGCTCTAGTAATCACGATCTTAAAATATTATCGCATTCACATTTCATATAAAATATACGTTTACTTAAATTTGTTATGTGTTCATTATTCTCTTTACGTTAAATAACATATATGTTCAATTTTTTTTTCTTTTTTTTTTTGAGAAAAACATATATGTTCATTTGAAATTTAATACTTGTTCATGCTCCTATATATTGAAAGATGTTCATTAATGTTAAATAATAGTAATTTATTACATTAAAAGTTGTTTGCTTGATTTAAACACTAGCACTTGTTCATTACCAATGTTGAATATTATTCACTTTAAATTTAATTTGTTTGTCATCGTATTGCAAAATGTTTATTTGACTAATAATATTTGTTCATTCTCATATTCAGAGATGTTCATTTAGATTTTGATAGTTGTTCATTATCATATTGAGTTATGTTCATTTTCAACAATGTGTTCATATTTGTATTTGTAAATGCTCATTCAATTATCCAGTTTTGTTTATAGTGTTTGACTTTGCAAATAATTATTTTTTACAAAAATGTAATCGTTCACTACACAAATCAACCAAATAAGAAAGGTGAAAACGACGATGTACATATTGAGAAAATATGTGTATCAAGAAAAGCGCACAAACATCATAAGGCTATATATAAATTAAAGGGTATAAATGTAAAACAAGGAGAATGATTCTACATACCAAAATGTAACAGAAAATATTCATTTTACAAGACACATATGTACTATAGGATTTAACGGTTCACTTTCATATTTATAAAACAAAATTAAATAAAATTCATATTGTTGACAACATTGTATTTAATAAATAGAATTCTAAGACGTGTGTTTTTGCATACATACATTTTACTATAATATTTACACATAACTCTTGAAATGAACATTATTTGATGATACAAAAATGAACATTTGTTGAAACATGAGTAAAACAAATGAACATTTAATGATGCAATACTTCTTATAATAAAAATGATTTGAATGCAATTATCCTTATAGTAAATGAATTTAATTGCTCCATTTTTATATGTTGAAAATTTTAAAATATAATTAAAAAAAATTAATTTTAACAAAAAAAAAAAAACTCCTTGTAATAAAAATAAACATTTAGTGATACAAAAATGTTCATGTACTAATACAGAAATGAACATATTATAAAAACTTTCCGAAAATTCATAATTGAAAAGGGGAGGGAGCAGGACACGCGCGAAGAATGTGTGTGGATTGGGGGGTGCATGTAGTGTTCCCTGCCATGGGGTGTAGGTAAAAATTTGTATCAATGGCATTAGGAAAACTTTGTACATATGGACGATATGGTGCTTTTCCTAAGTATTTTGATAAGTAGGAGTACTGGAAATTAGGTTTGAAAGGTAATTGTATTTTTTTTTCCTTTTTATTTATGGAAATTGTCTCTTAAACTGCAGGTTTTATATTTTTGGTCACATGGTGAACTTATTACCATTTTTCTCTCAATTTTTGAGCATTTTTGTAAATAAATGTCTACTACAAAGCATTTCATAAAATACTAGAAGTGGTATAATTTGATCAACAATGTTTTTGGAAGCGCTTCCCTTAATGATGCTAATATTATATCTTCTCAATCTATCACCCACGATAGCATGGAGGAAAATAAAAACCATTATTTTTAAGCCGGTTCAAAAGTAGTGGATTATGAGCCTTAAAACTGTTAAGATAAATACATAACAGTTAGTCTTTAAGAGGAATACCTCACACTAAGGGACTGTTCTCATACGAGTTCAGTTCAATTCAGCTCTAATAAGTTCAGTTCAGCTCCTAATTTCCTTCTCTTATAAAATATTCATTTCAATCAATGAGACCATGCCCTAATTTGGGCATGTACTGTATAATAAAAACCAAAAGAACTGCCCCTTAGGAAAATGGAAAAGTGAGACCATGAGAGTTTCAGAAAATGTCAAACTGAGATGAATTGGATGAAATGAGTTACGTACAAATGGTGTACATAAATTAGGTATAAAGGAGCAAATATCACTTGAAAAAATAGCATGCTTGGGAGGATCATGGTTGCCGATCATTTGAAATGAACTAAACAAGGCCTTAATTTCACAGAAAATCCAGGAAGGGGAAATAAATACCCTGTCAACAAAAGTTTCAAAATTTCAGACCAATTGTATTAACACATATTCCTGACTAGAATGAAAAATTAATTGATAAAACATTGATGCATTTTAGTGGAAGAATCTACTCGTACTAATACAAACGTATACTGATCAAAGAATAAAATAACAAGTGTAATTATATAATTAAAATAAAATACATTTGTGACTTGTACCAAAAATTTCCTCTCTAAACTAGAATGAAAGTCGTCGAATCATAAAAAAAAAAACCAATTTGCATTGAAGTGCAACGAGCTATTAGCCTTGGCAAATGCAAAAGAGGCGGTCTAAATCTGAAAAAGATGATCCTCATACATCAAATCCCTGCGTTATTTGAGTTGTTTGTTCCCTCAGGCTCGTGAATCTTTATACTACGGAAAAAAATAAGAACCTGTCAATTCCGAGTACCAATCATAGATTTCGGCACTTAATAAGGTCGACAAGTATGGAGGCAATCGAACCTTAACAATAATAAACAGAGATGATTTCTAGAGAATAATGATCATGAAGTAAGCAAATGTAAGCAAGGTTCTCGTAATCAATGATTGTCCGTACCCCAAGGGACTAGACTAAAAAAACTACTATGTAAAAGAGTTAGTGTACAGTGAAGATACAACCTGTTAGAGTACGGTGAAGAACTATTGGAATTTAGTTTAGCATATGAGAAGGGAAAGACAAGTGAAACACAGTAGAGAAGGATGTGCGAAAAAGAAATCTCAGGCTAGGACACTAATACAATTAGTGAACAATGTAAGTTGAGTAATAAATTTTAAAAATGCAAGCTTCAAAAATGCAAGTTTACCCTGAGATCTGATTCTTTTGGCAAATCCTCTTTATAAATCACCATTGCCCATTATAAGCCTCTCCTACTTCATTTGACATGGAGAACGCGTAACTCTAACAGGTTCTGTTTCAACATACACAATAATGGTGACAAGAAGATACTGTCCATAGTCAAAACTCATAACTGTGACTTGGACAAGCATCTGAATTCTTAACAATGTAAAATGCTAATGAATGAAGTTGTGACATGACAACAGACAATCATTCATCGAGTCATAGAAGAAATTAAGATAAGTGTCCCATCAATGACGCAATACATCTTGGGAGGTGTTGTAGACTATAAAATGGTGCGATACATCTTGGGAAAAGAACATTAAAGTTTTTAAGAATGGTTTAAAAGTTCTGAAGAGCTCTTACCCTGAAGTTAAAAAGTGAATGCAACTCACTAATATCTGCAGCTTCATCAGATACTTGAATAAGATATGCTATCTACAAATGCTTGAATTGACGGTTCTCTACCAATGAAATTTGTCAAACATTCATGCGGATCCTTTGCTCCCCCTGGAGCCAGTACCTGCAAGATATTGACGCAAGAAAACCACATTCAAAACAACCCGAATTTTTAGGGCATTAAGTTCCAAAGGCATGCTGAAACACAGAAGGGTGTATACACCACTTAAGGCGAATATTTGCAAAAATAAGAATGAATTAATTCATAGCATAATTTCTATACCATACAACACTTGGCTACACTAAAATAACAAATTAACAATTGACAGTTTCTTCTACTTCAATCAATAAGTTAATCTTTCTTAAAACAAAAAAAAATGATCATTCATATCTTTCTTGAGTCAATCAAACCTACCCACCCGCACCTCATCCAATGATGCAGAGAGGCAAGTGCCTCCATGCGAGGCTAATTAAATTAAAGTTCGCATGATGACAGGATTCACCTTCACATCAGCATAACCTGAAAGCGATACTTCATTCTACCAAAGCATGGGAAAATTAATGGCCCCTAATATATTAGTTCCAATGACTCCCATAATCCCATCCACTGATCAGGCTAATAGAATAGTGAATGCCTCAGATACAAAATAAGAGGCAAGTCAAACTTAAAACTATGTTTTATTTGACCTTTTAAATATGCAATGACAGAGACCAATAGAGGGCAGGAAGTTCTAGGGAATATTAATACAAGAACAAAACAATCACTCGTATAATCATAGCATTGCATCCTATTAAATCCTTTTAAGTAATGGAAATCTAGGACATTAAGGGGTACCATTGGCTAATGGCACAGTAAAGTTCAAGACATCACAAGTCATAATTTAACTATTCACCTTGTTGCGAAACTGCATGCCAGTATGATGGTTAAGACCATCATGAAATTTGGAAGTGAATATGTCGGCAGCAAAAACCTGAAAAACAATAAAACTTAAGCAGATGACACCTATTTTGTGGCACCAAAAGAAGACATTTTTCTTTTGGCAAATACAATTAGACGGATTTAAAATAGAGTAAAAGAAACATATATATTATGTAATAAAGGACATGATGATGATGCGCTAGTGGCTAAAACACTGCAAATATATAGTCCACTACTTAAATTTGATTATAGGGAAATTAGTAAATTACTAGACACCTTGCTCCAAATACGACTGTAACAACTAGCTTCATAACCAATTGCTGAATGTGGAAAACACGAAGCCGGGTTTGTGCCTTCCAAGATGGGTAATCCCAGCATCACCTGACAAAACAAAAATTGCTCAGACAAAACCCAACTTTAAAAGATAATGCACTGAGCCATTTTCTTTACCTTGGGATGGAGAAACTTGAATAACTCAAGGAAGTCGACGTTGTCAGTAGAATGTATTATTTGATCAAATAGACCTAAAAAAGCAATGTCAGCTACTAAGAAAAACAAAATACAGAATGTGACTGCAGGAACAGATTCTTCATAAAACACATACATGAAACCACTCTTAACTTGCCAAATTCTACACTAGAAACAACAAATAACCTCATCTCCCCATATGCAAGCCAATAGCTAATAGTTCCATTATTTCAAAATGCTCTTACATATCAATAGTTTAGGAATTGATAATTCAGACAGTGAATCAATTCCCATTTATACAAGCTCAAACTCTATAGCTTAAAAGAGCTCCAGTTTCTGTCTAGGGTCTTTCAAGGCTGGGGTCATTCTAAATTGCACAAGAGATTCCAAGTCAGATATTAAATACAAGAAAGTGAAAATCAACTGTTACAACAATCATAGCCAAACAACAACAAAGGAAAACGCAAACTCATGTTAATCAGCTTAATCATAGAACTTCACATAAAAGATGTACAATCTTCAAATAATTCACTTGATCACCATAATTATCTGTGTGCACATTACATTCTCTATAAAACTATCCACACCAAGACACCAGTGACAAACTTCAGATCAGCCAATCAAGCAGTAGCCACACATTTACAACACCCATTCCACTGGTGAGCATCACATCATTTAAAAGACCTAAACCAGAAATTGTTTACACAAGATCTGATACTACTTCGCATGACTATTATTGTACACCATATTAAAGCCCCCCTCCCATTAAAATCCAAAAGCTATACAGTTGGTCTTGCCTGAGAAAAGTTTCAAACGTTATTTTCATACACAACAAAATCATACAACAGCTATAGAATAAGGCAGACTGCTTACAGTAAAGAATTTCCTGCCTCAATTTAAGTGCAGCAAATGAATGCCTCCATCTTTGCAAAGACATAGATATATCATCTTTAATTTGCCTTGTGATATCCTGTGTAATAAATAAAAATTAGTTCAAAGAGTATAAAATATACTACACTAGTCCAACAACAAATTGTCTGCGATAAAGCAATTGACTGGACAATTGCAGGCAATCTAAAACTTAACTCAGTACGCAAAGAGCACGATATTCCTTTCTATGATGAACAGGAAGTGGTAGTTTGACTATGAATAAAAAAAGAAACTACCTGATAATAACCAGATATTAATTTCAAGATGTTGCTCTCATAGCACCTATAATAAATCAGAGCAAGGAAAGTAAGCATGGATTTATTTCCCACAAACAATAAAAATAAATAAATAAATAATTACCAGTTCTCAAGTAGATGACCAGGCATTTCTACAAAGTCATTATCAACACGCAAGCCAGAGAATCGAGCAAGTGGTGAACGGTTGCATATATGATGGACCTGAATGATCATTATTACCCCAATGTTAATTACTGACAAGTACTCTAGCTAAGATAAAAGCATCATAATTCACTTCGTTATATCAACCAAAAATTCAAGGAGTTGACACAGCATGGCGTCACAGTGTAGCAGCAAGAATTTATTTTTTATTTTTCTTTTTTTGGGGCTTTCAACAATTATATTACAGCCATGGGTGGTTGTACAGGCACTTACGGACTTATGCTATAAAGTTATTATAGCATGTCAATCTGCTGGATTTAAAAAATTAATGTGTTTTAAGTGAGACATCTTGTCATCTGCAGTTGTAACCAGCTTTAAAGGGGTAGCAAGTAAGAAGACAAAATATGTCTTATGCTTAGTATTAATAAGATATTCAAAATTCAAATTCTCCAAGTTAGGGTATAAAAAAGCGAGTTATAGTTAACACCATTTTTAAAAGTTTAAATAAAATTGAAAAGAGGAACAATCAAGACTTCGATTGAATGCCAGATTAACAAGGTTCAAGACATGTGATCATTTTCAAATATTGTAAGTAGCAGAAAGAAATCATTCAAACCAATCATAAAAAGGTGTATCTATTGGAAGAAAAGCACCCAATAGGGCATTACACATGCAGTCAAGGAAAAAAAATTAATGTCGAGAATGAATAACATATGGAACTTACCACATGGCCAAATTCATGGAAAAGACTAACAACTTCAGAAAATCGCAGTAATGTAGGAGAATTATCATCCTCCTTTGACAACTCAGACATCAGTAGCACAACTGGAACCTGGATATATAAAAATGATAAACTATAAATCCAGTAATGAATGTTGAAATTAAGTATCACGCATATATCATAAAAATTAAATGCATTTCACAATTTCACCTGTCTAGCAGCATTTGCTGATAATGAACCATTTTGAAGAGGCAAAACACAAGTTTGACTATATTTTCCTTCCCTATATTTACAAAAAAAACGTTGTTAGACAGTTTTCTACAAAGAATTGGGTTAAGGTCAACAGAAAAAGAGATAATTGTTGAACCTGGAGTAGAGATCAAGGTATGCATAGCCCATAAGTTCACAAGAGCTTAAATCAAAAACAGAGAAAACACGTATATCCTCATGCCACACCTCAGCACCGAAAATTTCTTCAAATCTTAATCCTGCTCATAAATTATCATATATAGGACCATTAAGAGCAACATAAGACACAAATACATACTGGAACAACTGCAACACTTAAATTAAATTCTTTTGAATCTCTCCTAGTAAATACTACTAATAATAATCATTACCGAAAGCATCTTGGAGTATTTTGAAAATCCCCTGCAGAACTAAGCTAATAGGAAAATACTCTTTAAGTGCTCCAAAGTCTAGATGAAAATTTTCTTCTTCAAACTTTTTTACATAATAGAGCATGTCCTCGATTCCAAAAGGATTGTCCCCTTCCTCCTTTTCCTGAGTTTAAAAAAAGGAAAAACGAAAAGAAGAAAAAGGTAAATCAAACAGAAGACAACAGGAAATGAGTGCAAGGCACAGTTCAAACTCCAATCAGTACTAACTTTCAATTTTTTCAATATATCAAGTTCTTTGGTGGCCAAATCAGATAAACTCGTTGACAAGTCCTCCAAGAATTCGAAAACCTGAAAGAAAGAGCAAATAGCTCACTCAGACAGTGCATAAATACATAATTTACACACATGGTTACCAAACAAGATTTAAAACTCCAAGGATTATTTCACAAACCTTTGAGGAAGTTTTTGCCATCCTAGAACCAACAGCATATTCTGCATAATTATCATAACCAAGCAATCTTGCAAATTTATGGCGCAATTGAACCTGCAAAATATGTAAAACTTTTCAGTTAGAACGGTATAGACATAGCTACAGACCTACAGTAATGTATCAACAAGAGAATGAAAGTCATTTTAAACAAAGAATTGTCTCAGGTTTCATCCTCACTCACCAAATTCTCTAACACAGGCACATTGATTTCTTTACATCTTTGCCCATATCCCACAGCTACCTTCCTCCGAGTCGCTCCAATCTTCACAAGGTGGGTAGAGAAATAAGCACATGTACAATATAATATATCTCATTGACACCAGCATATATGTAAAGCAAGACCATCTGATGGTGAATAAGCCATCTAAACCAAAACTAATGGCTTACGCCACATCACTAGCAAAAGGATCAAAGGTCCATTCCCGCAGTGCATGCCACCTCTGTTTCAATTTAGGTGGAGATGAGCAAAGACAGCAGATGCTACCTTAAAAGTTAAAACATCATAGCTACATCACTATGACTTTGTTTTTTATTTGAAATGAAATTTATTCTATAAATAAAAAATAAATAAATAAATAAAAAAAAAACTATCTAACCTTGTACAAGATTTTACATTCCATCCTATCTTAATAAAATCTTACCCTGTACAAGATTTTACCACTACCATTCTATCTTAATAAAATAATAATTACATAGGCATGATGGTCCTAGACTCATATTATAAGTTAGATTGCAATCACGTTTTACTATTCTTATTAGTCTTATATTTGCTTAAACAATCCAGACTTAGCAAAAAGTTTTGAGATGCACAGCTTTATTCCATAATCAAGAACTGCAGTAAATTCTCATCAGAAACAAAAATTAATTTCATAAAAAAAATAAAAAGTGCAAAAAAATCTGAGAGACAACATTTATAAAATAATAGTATTTACTCAGTTGATTAGAATTAGAATCAAATGAAGAAAATAATAATAGCATAATGAATAAGGTTGTTTATTCATACACAAGAATCTGTGAGGAAAAAAAAAAATTGAGGCATGGCTTAAGTATCGTGTAGTCGCCTAATCTAGATTATAAATATAAACCCATTCCAACCAGGGGTGTGTAAGTGGTCTACTACTACTGTATCCCTTGAAGCCTTAGAGCTTAAGGCCAACTTCTAAACTATAGACATATAAACTGGCATACTACCATTACAGGACCAAATCTCCCTAACAGAGAAATGGAAGTGAAAACAAATTGATTTACAGCAGGCCATACACGTGAAACTTCCCTGTGAAGCATAAGAACATTGTTTAGCGAATTGAAAGCAAATTCTTCATACTAATCTTCAAGGTAACTGAATACAAGCCTAGAAAAAAGCTTTCAATTAATTTTGTATGTTTCAAGATGTTTAAAAGGAAGACAATTTATACGAGACTGCCTACTAGCTTTGGTTAAAATGAATACATACTATTTGGAGCTAAGTAGCTTCAATTTTCACCTACCCTAGATCCTTCATCGTTCAATGACAATCCCACGGAAGTAAAGATGTTAGAAATGTATTGCAATGTTTCAAAAAAAAAAAAAAAAAAAAAAAAAGATGTGAACAAAAGCACAGATGAAAAGACATTAACATAAAAACAAATCTAATCATGGCAATCAAAATGAACAAAAGCATACTTTACAGAGCTCCAGTATTGGCAGCACATGATTACTTTTCATGGTAACCTTGAATTTATCATCATCAGCTTTGTCAAAGATCTGTACATTTCAAATCAAAGTTGATGTAAAGGACAAAGAATAACAAGAAACCATACTTTCTAGAAACATCATTGATTCTGTAAGGATATGATTTACATAACATTAAAAATTACAGCAAACTAAAGATAGACTATCAGAAAAAGCCTGTAAATATCCATTAGTTACAACCTTACTACCCCCAACATACAAGCTTAGCAGAACATATGTAATAGAATTGGAGTGAATCCTTAAGAGAGTTGTGACCTCAAGTCACTAAATGGAGAGTTGTGAACTCAAATCACTATAGAGCTTGATAAGCTAAACCTAACGATTGTGTGGACTGCTATCTTCTCTTTTTATATAAATACACAAATCAGATTATCTAGCTTAATAAAAGAACCAATATTTTCTCTTTATTTTACTGTTATTAGTGTGAGTAATATCAGTCTATAACAACATACATAACATGGAACTAAAATTACAATAAACAAAAATACATCCTCTTATTTATTTTTATTTTTTACTCGCAACACTTTCATTTCACACTTGTCAATGCATTATTTCAATTACTTTTATCTCCTATAGTCAATAAGAAAAATTATAATTTTGTAAAGAAAAAGTTGATATTTTGAAAGTAAATGTCAAGACGACACTAAAAAGAGCCCACATGACTATATTTTTATTCTAAGTATAAATCATCAAAGATGGTCAAATAGCATATGCGAACAGTGCTGACGTCAAAGCATTGCATGTAAAAAACACGCGGAGAAAGTATCAAGACCTAGCAGGGAGGGAGACAGAGAAACACTCAAAAATTAGAAGAGATCTCCAATACTTCTTAAAGCAGGGATTTGGATAAAATAGCAACTTAATTCACATACAAGTGACAGAGACATGCATATAGCTCAAAAATTCTTCAGTAAGGCCATTCCTTCCTCACTAATTAATGATATTGGAGATGAATGCTTGAATTATGAATTATCACTTTAGGAACAATAACTCCCAGAAATTGCAGAATCGATAATAATTGTTTACTAAAAACACCTAACATTTTCATCATTCACCAACAAGAACAAATCAGACACAGAATCTGTTGTAAGGAAGATATAGGTTAGTACATCAACCTGAAGGAGTTCAGAGGGCAATCCTTCTAGCTCTGATTCAGTGAAGAGAAGGAGAGTACAATCATCATTGATATTCTGAACATATTGCATGCTTAAATCATCAATTTGAACCTGCAAACGCTGAACTTCCTCTTTCTTTGATGAAGTAAGGTTCAATCCATTTTGCTCAAAATCTCTAACCTGTCACTGGAAAAGCAACCATCAATATTCACAGGGAATCAGAAGGAAATAAATAGCGATCCATTTAAAACATGCAACAATATGTTACTGCGGTACTGCCCAAATGATCACCAGTTGAGATAGTTAAGTATACAAAAGAACTTAAGAACAAAAAAGAAATAAAGTAAGTATGAAGAAGCATATATGAGTTCCTTCAAGGTCAATATACACTAGTCATTACCATTTTAACATCAAGCAACGTGATGGAGACAAAATGGGTTCAGCGGAATTCCTGTCTGGTGAACTAAACATATTACAAAAGAGTGTTGGTTGTTAAATCATCTTAAAACTAAGACAAACTTTTAAATAAAACGGATGTTCAGTAAATTACTGAACATCCGTTATAAAGTGACAATAAAATGTGCAAAAGTTACACTAAAACGCCCAAAAGTTACCCTGACATATATAAAAGTTATTTATGCTTCATTGATAAATTTGACAAAAGTGACACTAAACTTGACAAAAGTGACACTAAATCTGACAAAAGTGTACTCGATGTACAGTAAATTACTGAAAACCGGGTGTATACAAAAGTTTTCCTAAAACTAATAATCAATCTTTTCTACCTTCTTGAATTATCTAGAAACTTTTTCCTTGACGATAACTTTGACTTCCGTATAACATAATAAACAATTAGTGGCCTAAAAATCTCTCTTCAATGTTTTCCTCCTTCAAATCAAAAACTACACAAGAAAGTGGGACTAAATGCAATTCAAAATTAAAAATAAAAAGTAAAGGAGATCCTGAAATACATCTTAATTACTTGACACAACTGAAAATCATTTGCTGTACAACAATGATGAATAATGGCCTAAAACATGCAAGGCTCGTGCAAAACTAGCAAGTCTTCAGATAGTAAAATTGAAACTGCAGGCACAATAAAAATCCATAAAATTCTGATCATTCTAATGTCAAAAAAGCAATGAATCAGAAGTCACACACTGACAAGCAAGTTAAAAAACAAACCACATCACCAAAGATCACATAGTTACAAAAAGCATACTTTGAAACACAATTCACATGAATACAGCTACTAACTACTAAATAATAACCACAATACCATGAGAACAATATGAACCAACTATTAACTACTGAACACTAATCACACTACCATGAGAATAATACGAACCATATTAACTATTGAACACTAATCACACTCCTATAAGAACAACACACACCAATTAAGACTCCCCTCACACATACTGATATGCAATCAGGACTCAAAAGCCACCAAAGCAATACACATGTACGCTGTGGTTATGCAGTATCTAAATAATTGTGCCTACTTGAAATATAAGAGCATAAACCCAGTACAATTTAGCAAAACCTGACAAAAGCTTCCATATATCCATGTCAAATTAATATAAACCCCTACCACACTACCTGCCTTAAGAATAACAACAACCCAGGATCAATCCCGATAGGCAGGGTTTGGGCTTCTCGGGATAGCCTTATCCATAATAGTCCAAAAATAAAGTCAATTAAAGGAGAGGGGGGAAAACACGAGAGAAGCTAAATAAACTTTTATACATACCAGAGATTGAACATATGATTTTGCTTCAGCATTATTCCATTCTCCTCTGGCAGCAAAAGCTTTTACAACACTATACACATCCTCACGCTTTCTGTAGAATACACATGAGATAAAATGTCAGTTGCTAATCCAATAATAAAATAAGAAGTACACAGGCAAGAGTATATAGAATTATAGACTATAAATTAAAATTCTAAAATATATTTTTGTTGTGTACTAGCTCACCTAATCCAAACCAAAAGTCATATTCAGAGGTAATGGTAATGAAAATGCGGGTCACTTTGGATAAAGTAATGTCCAGAGTTACAATTCTCCACTACCAAGTATGAGTTTCACTTCATTGAAGCATATGACCTTTTGTTAACATTTATAGTGTGTTTGGATAAAGAAAAAGGAAGCAAAAGAAGGGGAGGGAAGGGAGGGAAGAATAAAGAGTTTTCCTTCCAAATCTCTCCATTGTTGGCAAGATCAAATTCTTACAACTTAAACCCTCCATTTCTCTCCCCTCCAATTCTCTTCCTTCCTCATTTGTTATCCAAATAAAAGATATTCCATCCCTCCATTTCTATTCCCTTCCTTTCCCTCCATTTCCTTCAAACCAAACAAGTGTTAGAGATGTGTGTAGGATTGATAACCTATATAAAATAACACACAAACTACTTATTCACTTAATTTATGACCTAACATCAAACAGATTATAAGCTGTACTTATACACAAAATCTGAAGAGCAATACTACATGAAGCAAAAAATTTCTGTCCAGAAATTCACATACATCTAATTCCCAAAATTCCCTATAAGTGATCTCTCTAGCCATAGCTTATACTTAATTGAATAGACTCAGCATGGCATAAAAGTGGTCTGCTTTCTTCGGCAATTAAAATTGTATGCTTCATCAACTTAATAAGAGTTCTAAAGCTAAATTCCATAATCTAAACCTGAGTACCTGGAGCACAGTTTTCCTAGTACTAGAAAGAGGTATGGGAACAGGTTCTCTAGTCAATTGTGTTAAATTAGTAAACCAGGAGTACAAGCTCACTACATACCAATTTGTACTTTCCAGAATGTGATTAACAGGAGGGTATATGTAAATAGGTATAACTGCACCAGAAAACTGAATGCAAGAGCTAGTTATCTATGGCCCCATATCAAGTAATCAACCAAACCTTACAAATTTGTCCTTTCAAAACCTTGGCCAATTCTGTCCTCATGCAATAACACAAATCAGACTTAATAAAACTTACTCTATCGATCTGTCCCTAGATTCTCTACCTACTTGACATGAAGGGGAGAATTGATAAGAAAATCAACAGTGTAAAAACTATTCATTGAAAGAAGACATCCTCTACTTCAGGGTTCACGCTGGAAAATTCTGGCATGGTTTAGACATGAGGCAACACCGGCCCTTCATAAAATCATCAAAGAGTATATCGTGCAAACAATGCATGACCAACTCATGATGTAGTAATCTTTTTTTTTCCCCATAAGCTCTCAAGAACATCCAAATAAATTGCCTGCATTCAGAACTGTGTTACCAAATCCCCCCCCCCCTCTCCCAAGTATTTAAACATTGAACTAACAACAATCGAAAGCAAGTTACTTCCCATACCAATTCTACATACCAAATATAAGGCAGCACTGACTCATCAAATTTTCTTTATAATTTTTTACTTGACATTTATTTCAAGAATGCCACTAGCCCAAGGTGTAAATAGCCTTGAAAATAATAACCATGTGTCTAGTCCATAACTACGTATTCTTAGGTCAATTAGCAACTCACGGGAACACCAAGGACGTATGCAACCTAACCCACAAAAATCAAAATATAAACATAAATATTTTTTTTTCCAGCAAAGAACTGCAGCCATTATAAGAGCATAAAATGTGGACATGCACAAGCACCATTGCAGTTCAAAATTTCTTTTATTAGCAACAAAGGAAAATAGGTAGTGAATCAATGTAAGAGAAACAGAGGAAAGCACCTGCAAGATCCATTATGTGTATTTATTTTCTGCTCTGCTTCAGCACTTGCTTTGCGTACATCCTCTGATGTCGATACTAGCCTTGGGAAAACACAAGACTGGACCGATGGAAAATGACGTGCCTCTAGTTCTGCTAGCACCATGATATCTTGATATCTAACCTAACAATGGGCAGAGCAGATAGCAAAATATACTTAGCAATCGAATCACTACAATCATATGCAAACTTTCTACTATTTCCCCTACCTTTAAAAAAGAAAAAAAAGAAAAAAAAAAAAGAAAACCCTTTCTCTGCAATATCCCAGTGAAACTCCGAAAAATCAAGATTTCTACTGCATCTAGGCCAATAACCACTGTCATGAGCATTTATTTACCAAAAAACCAGAGGTAACCCCAATAGGCACACCATTCACAGTCACCAACCGATTGGTGCTGTTTTCATTTAGATAAATAACTCTAGATCGAACCTTAAATTCTTAGTGTGACCGCATATATGCATGATTACTAGTTTATAATTTGCCAACCTCCTCGTTTAGTAGGAATTAATAGGTTAACATCAACCCCATCCTACAAAGAATGGTCACATTGCTCCAAAGCCACTTATAATTAGAACATGATTACATGACAAAAAAAAAAAAAAAAAAAAAAAACCTTTATAATGTAACATATTTCATTCCCATATTAGCCTCATTACTCATTCTAAGGAGCAACTTGGGAAGTCGGGAAAATTTTAGAAACTCGTGAATAATTTATATTTTACGGGAGAAAGCAATTTTTACCTTGATTGCAACATACAAAGCTATACTTGAACAAAAGACATAATCATAATCCTCAACATACAATTTTCCCGTCAAACGACACAACATTCACAATTACCAACAAAATAATCATAATCATGACAAAAACAAACAAATGTAATATTACAAATGATTTCTCGGTAAAAAACAAGAACAAACCCTAATCAATAATTCAATATTATACTACATTACCTTATCAACCGGCACAGAAGCAAGAGAATCATAAACAGCTTTCGATTCCGCAATTATTCGATCAGCCAATTTCCGAATTTCAATTACTGACAAATTCACTCTCACATTCGACCCAATAAGATCTATACAAGTCATAACAATCGAAAACAAAACAAACAAAAATGAGAAAGAAATCTTCCACAACATTCTACATCACAATTCATCAGAAATCCAACAAATGAAAAAAATCAGAAGAGAAAATTCAGAAACCTTTAGCTTTGCGACGATGATTGAAGGATTTGAAGGCATGAAATGCGAAATTAAGAGCGACAGCGAGAACTGCAGCGGTTCCAGTTAAGACGATAATCTTGTTTTGTTTACCGCCATTGTTGCATCTTCTCAAGCTTTTCTCGGTCTGGCTATGGCGGTCATCTTCTCCGTCCATTGTTAATCTCTGTCCTCTTTCTCTTTGTTTCTCTCTCTTCGAATTGAATTTAAGAGGAAATAAAAAAAGTTTGGAAGAGAGAGAAAATTTAGGAGGGAAATGAGGTTTGTTTAACGTTTCAATGGGCCGAAATTTGTGATTATGGGCTACTCATCTTAAATTTTAAGCCCGCCAAATTTTTTTATTACTTCGTAGTATTTTTATTATTTTTTCAATAGTTATTAGATGCACCATAATGCACCTAAAAATAAATGCGTCATGAGTACACTTTTGAACATTTATTTTTTTAAAAAAAAATTAAACACTTTACAAAAAAAATGAACATTTAGTATAAAAAAAGAACACATCACAAAAATTGAACACAAATTTGCAATTTTATATGTTCATATTTTATAAAGAAATGCTCATTTTAGATGCAGTAAATGTTCAATTTCTATTAAAAAACTATTGAATTATTATAAGTCAAAAAATTTATGTTTATTATATAGTGTTATATTAATTAATATACTATTTGTTTAAAATTTGCGATTGTTCAGATTTTTTTTACTAAATGTTCAAAATTTGCGATTATTCAGATTTTTTAACAGAATGTTCAAAAGTATAGATGGGTGCATTACAATTGTTCAAAAAAATTTTACTAAATGTTCCAAATTTGCGACGTTCAGATTTTTTTTTATAATGTTCAAAACTTTCGATCATTCAGAATTTTTACACTAAATGTTCAAAAGTATAGGCGTGATGCATTGTGATTGTTCAGATTTTTTTACTAAATGTTCAAAATTTGCGATGTTAAGTTTATTTTACTAAATGTTCAAAATTTTCGATGTTCAGATTTTTTTTTACTAAATGTTCAAATTTGCAATTGTTCATAATTTTTTAATAAATGTTCAAAAGTATAGACGTAGTACATATAAAAATTTGTAGTATTTTACTCCATATCTTAGAATCTGTTCTGATTTACTGAACTAAACTGTTTATGAGAGAAGAAAATTAGAAACTGAATTGATTGAACTGAAATTAAACTGAAAAGAAAATACCCTTATTATGTGTAGGGAATAACTTCAAGCCTTTAAAATCCCACTAGCTTGAACCCTACTGTGATCATACACTAAAGTACGGTGGCGTCCAAAAGGGAAGAAGATAGAGCAAAAGAGTCGCCAACAAGTTTTTAAGGAACTTGTAAACCGTTCACGAGGTGAAGGTTACACCCCTTAACGATCCAAGAGATCGTCAACTCCATAAGGTCATGAACCAAATAAGGGTTCGGGGATGATGGTACAAATCCAACCTAAAAGAGATTGAACATGCCCTAATAATAGGCCTCTACTTTATTTTGCTCGTATTCATGTGCGCTTTCTGATTAACATACAATCATTAGTGTTTCGGGGTTTTCTGATGTCCTGCGGGAGAGTTACAATTCCGAGACTGGAACCGGACGCCTGTACCTGCAAAACAAACGGATGCTCCGGATGATTGGAGATCCGCCTCCGACGGTCAAGTTAGTACTTGATTAAGGAGTAATTAATGCGGAAATTAAAGTGATTGGGTCTCTCTAGGTGAGAGTGTTTAATGTGTGTAATCTGGGTTTTTAGCGTTTTTTGCGTTATCTCCCTTAATGGGGATTAAGGGAGGTATTTATAACCTCGGGAAACGTGTCAATCTAGGTTTAGGTTAACCTTGGGCTGATTGGGCTTCCCTCGGAAGTTGGGCCTAGGTGACCGGTTATCCCAGGTGTCATGGGAAGGACACGTGTCGTGTCGTAATTGGTCCATAGTGGACGGATCATTGCTTGACACGTGGCAGGCTCCTATTGGCCCATGTGACGGACACATGGCGGAACCTGATTGGTCCACTTGTCAGATGGTGATTGGTGGGGAAAAATCCCCTAATCATTTTCCCCTCACAGGTGGCACGTGACTGGTCACGTGTTACCTGTGACAGGTATCGCCCTGTAACAGGCGACGACCTGCTACAGGTGTCACTCGGCGAGAGGCCGAGAGATTCTCCCGCCAAAATTTTGAATTCTAGAAGTGACCCTTCGCCTTCTCACTTCGCCTATATAAAGGAGTGTTGACTTCGGTCATTTTCACACTTGAAAACTTTGTGAGAGAACATTCGGACCCCTGAACTTGCTCTGACATTTTGGACCCTTTCTGACTACCGCCTGCTCTGACAAGCCGACTGCAAAGGATTTTCAGAACTTCATCAATCGTCACTCGTTCAGGTAACCGTCGGTTCTCTTACTCTTAATTTTCTCTTGGATGGGTATGAGTTGGGGTTATGGCAGTTAGCCCCGAACTCCTGGGTCAACGTACTCGGCTATGTGGCCGGGTGCGAACTGCACGGGGTGGAGCCGAGCTTCGAGGCTTTCGCCCACATGAACTACCTCAGCCGGACCCCTAAGGCAGGCGGTACCGGCTGATATCAATTGACGAGCCACAGGGGCTACCGCATGACGAGAGGTAAAGCAAACAAATGGAAGGACTGGCGGAGCACCTTCCTCATCATTGAGAGCTCAGACAGAGAGCTGAACAAGCGCTTCAACAGGTGGAACAGGAATCCGCCCCTTCTTGCAGGCGGCCGCAGCATGCCGCTTGTTCCCCCCAAGGCTAAGAAAGAGATCCTAGATAAAGGACTCTTCAAAGTAGAGTCGAAGGTGAACTCTACTTCAGGGGTACGAGAGCAAGTACCCCTGCACTGCGTCCCGAGCTTCAAATGGCTCTACGACGAGTACTTTTTGGCCGCCTGTGGCCTCAGCAGTCGGTGCTCAAGAGGTAGCCGGCCTGTCGAATACTCTGCTGTTCCGTGCATTTCTTGTTTTGACTTTTATTAACTTTGCTATTTGTTTTTGCAGCGGACGCCATGAGCAAAATTACCGCCTCCAAGACTGCGGCGGCCATGTTGCGGGCCTCCATCATGCAACAGTCTTCAACCGACTCCCCCAACAAGGGGGCACCCTTGGTGGGCTTCGAACCTTTCACCCTCTTTTTGGAGTTGTGTTTATGCATATACTGACTCTTTTCTTCTTTTTTAGACGTGCGCTCCAAGAGCTTCTTCTTCCAGGAACCGGAGGACGACTGTTGCGAGCTCTCCTGTTTCTGCCAGGAAACATGCGGCGGCTGAGAAACAGCCGGCCACTTCTTCTAAAACTCCAGCTGGGCCACCTAGAAGTATGAAATTGTCCTTGTAAATTTTAGACTTTCTCCCTTCTTTACTAGGTCTAATCCGTTTGTTTATGCTTGATGCAGCCGGCCCTCAGGAGCCTGACTTGGTCGAGGTGGCCAAGTCTATGATCAAGGTCGTTCCTCCAGCTGAAAGGGAGGCGGTCAGGGGTGTCGGCACCCTTGACCTAGACGGGATTGTAGGGGTCCTTGCTGAGGTATACTTAGCATATTTTTGAGTATTTGAATTCCAGGACGCCTGTTTTCACTTTTTGTTTGGAAACGGACGCCTGTTCCCCTTTTTACTTAGGCCCTGCTCCGAGTGAACGGCCTTCGCAAGCCGCTTGACCGGAAGAACAAAGAGGTAAAGGCTGCAAAAGCTATGGCCGCCTCTGACTGTGATAAGGCAATGTTTCAAATTGCCCAAAATGAAGTTCTGACCATTGATATTCTTTATTATCAGGCGCAGGCTACCGCCGCTATCCGGGCTCAGTTAGAGGCGGCCCAGAAGAGGAATAGCGAGCTGGAGGCGACCATCAACAACCTCAAGGCCGAGCTGAGACCTCTTCGCCAAAAGATGTCCTCATACGAAACCTTGGAGAAATCCTTGGCGAGCGTAAAGGTACGCCTGGTGACCCAGGAGAAGAGTCTTACTCAGGAGCTCTCGGAAAAGGCCGAGCAAGAAAAGAAAGAGCTGGTCCGGGAGATGATGGAAGACTCTGCTCAAATCCAGCGGTTGACTTGGGGCCGCCTCTTCCCCAATGCCGACTTTGCCTCATGGGAAAAAACGTACCGCCAGTGTTCTGATAGATATAATCAGGAGATCCTGGCGGCTGCTGAGGAAGAGGCGTTGGCGGCTGCTGAGGAAGAGGCATTGGAGGAGGAGCAGCCGGTAGTGGCGCTTGTGCCGCTTGGGGGTAATGCATTAAAGAAGGATGCAGCTGAAGCCGAGTCCAGCAAGAAGAGTACTGACCAGGCGGCAGCTGCTGATATTGAAGATCTGCCCCCTTCTTAAGCTTTATGTCTTCTTCCCACGGCCTGCGTGCCGTTTGTTTGTATTTACCCGGCCAGGGGGCCGGGGCTCTGAATATTTTTCCGGTCTTTAATGACCGGCTTCCTTTTAATGAATATTTTTGTTTTGCTTCAAATTTGTATAAGTATTGAATATTCTGATATCCAATTGCACACTATACCGACTGTTTTACATGGCCGATAGTTGCAGACAGGTACGGATAGTTAGTCACGCCGCCTATGCCCCTGGACGACTGGTCGTCTGTTTCCAGGCTAGACGATCAGTCGGCCATTTATCCAATCGGTATTCGAACCATTTTAAAGACTTGATCCCCTTTAGGCAGGCGGTTCTGTCATATAAAATTAACCAAGTAGGAAAGTGGTTTCCTACTCATGTTTTTAGGCTAGAGACTTTAGGCCGTCTAGGCCGACTGTTCCCCGCCATATTTAATCTAGTGTGAGCCGGTGCTGTATGAACACCTTTTTAGTTTCATACTAAATTTGTAAGGAGTGACCAAGTAAACATGATTGTTACCTAGTCGCCAAGTAACTGAGTAGTAGAGGTATCAAACGGTGGGTACCGGTTGTTCCCCTTTATTCGCCAATGTTTGTTGGCTTTTAACTCATAGGTTGTTAACCTAGCAGGAGTAGTGGTTGAGAGCCCCTGTTTGCTAAAAACAGGCGGACGACTCATACCTTTTAGGCTCCATACTAAGTTTGAGAGAGTGACTATGAGTTAACTTTGGTGTTACTCAGTCGCCGTCATTCCTGCTTGAGTAGTAAAGGTACCAGGCGGCGGAGGCCGGCTGAACCTTTTGATTCGCCAATGTTTGTTGGCTATTAACTCAAGAGGTACCCCCTGCATTTATCTCAAGTAATATAGGCGGTAATCTGACTCAGATGTCAACTGCTACCAC